ACAGATTAAGAATGAAACTGAAACCATTCTTAGATTCATTTCAAGGTTGCTTTAAGGATAACTGTAGATGTTTTGCTGGTCTATTCTTCCTATATCGTATCTTACTGGTTCTTATTCCAATTTGTTTCTCAGATGGAAGCTTTTGGAACACTGTGACAAAAGAACTACTCATTATCTGTATCCTATTCCTCCATTGCTTGTGTGGACCTTTTCAGCAGAAATTCCACAATCACATCAAGTCATTCCTTCTTCTTGATCTCATCCTCATCAATACACTGCAGCTAGCACCACTGAACACTAATAACAGTACAACCATACTTGTAGCAGTCTTTCAAGTTGTTTTGATGTCCCTGCCTCTTGTTTACTTATTGTGTTACATTGGACAGTACACTTGTTGTACAAAGCAGTGCATTAAAAATAAGTTTCATGCAATAACAAGCCCAAATGGTCATAATGACAATGATGATGATGATGAACTACCTCAACGATTACTGCCAGAATTTATAGAGTCTTTTGATACTTTCAACAAAAGTGAATAGATATCCCCCACACACAAATAGTTCAATACACATACAAGTACTTTAGTAAGTAGCTCTTTCAAGCTCTGTGTTTTCAATAATAACTTTTAATACTGTTTTAGAACTTGTTTGCTATAGTATTAACTTTAATGCTGTTTTACAACTTAACTGTTTACACTTTTGTTTATACATGTATCATTGTTCGTAAGTAGTGTATTTAATTTTAAAAATTAATTTGAAATAAAATTGGAGGCTCTTACAAAGCAAATAGTAACTGCAATGATAATAGTAATTTTATATTGTTATAGTATTAAAATTAATGGGTAAAATTTTAAAATAATTATTAACTAGATGAATGCCAACATTAAGGTGGCTAGCATGAGCCATCAATTGACATTTTTTGACTCAGATAAAAATAAATAGATCAATCCCACTTTTAATTTATTTCTTAAATAACTTTTAATTTTCATAAATTGAAAAAAAAAATTATTATTATCTTATTTCTTATATTTATTTATTTAAAAAATTTTAATTAATTAATTTATTTATTTTTAATTTTATTTTTTTACTTTATTTCTGTTATTTCTTTATTTAATTTTTTAATTTTTTACTTTTCTATTGTATTTTATTTTATTTTTAGTGATAGCATAAAGATATTAAGGTGGCAGCTTGAGGTGGAACACCACAGGGATACTGGCTACAGTGTTATCTTATCCTGATTGTGATTGAGCATGCTCTGCATGACAGGATTCCCACCTCCAAAAATGGCCTCATGCTCAAAAATGGCTGAACCATGTACTGAGGATAGTAATCTCGCCACGCGAGACTACGAGGCTAATGAGATTACATCTACTGCCTCCATTCTGAGTGGAAGAACCTTAAGTGAGTGGCAGTGATTGCAACATAGTCATAAACCAGAATTTTCTGTTTTTATATTATAGACATTGAAGATCTTAGTGAGGTGGTTAGATTACTTGAAAAGCACAACTGTAGCAAGAAATCCTATCATGGGCTTGGCCTTTCTCTTAAACTGTCTTACAATGCACTGGGAATCATTGAGGGACAGTATACCGAAATTGATCGACGTTTTACTGAATGCTTGGCTCTCTGGCTGCGTAGTGCTGAGAAGCCAACAATACAAGAATTGATAACTGCTCTAAGGGAAACAGATAATGCTGTAGCAAATGCTATATCGAATGCTGTAGCTGATGGTGTTAAAGAAAGTGAGTAAAATGCATTGCTTTGATAATTGTGTTGCTTTAAATTTTTTTTAGTTATTCCAATGTCTGAATCTGAATCCTTGTCAAATCTCAGCAAACCTATAGTCACACCGTCTACATTAGAGGTCAATCAAGGTACAAAACATGTAACATAATTATAGCAATAGCAGGAAATTTTTAGGGGTTTAATTTTTGTGAATTTTTTGTTTAAATAATAACACAAAACATAAGAATTGTATTTTGATTCACACCTTATAAATACTCACCACACTTTGCATTGGAAAGAACAGTATGTAGTAGGATGGGCATCCAGAGTATTTGATCCTTTGATTCCAAATGGAATCATACTCATATCAAAAGAATTATTTCTAACGATCTAAAAATAAACCACACTATTAATAAAATAGTAGTTATTGAATTATTATTGTTGCATTTTAATTAAAAGAGTACTATACCGTATAGCAAAAAAATTTGTGAGGAATAAATTTTCGTATTTTCGTGATCACTGTTAGCATCACAAAAAATTAAACCCCCAAAAATAAATATTAATTGAAGCCTTTTGAAGAGTGTGGTCAACTACACCTTACTAATACATGTGTATGTACATGTGTGCATGCCCTCGTGTCTGAACAAGTTGTGTTCTCGGTCAAGCTGATATCTGTATCACTATTTTAAGCCTAGAGGCAAGGTCAAAGATGATCTTAGCAATCACTGCTGGTGTCCACACTGTTTTGTAGACGTGGTGCCCCCTGACACAGGAGTCCATCTCAATCTGCCACATTTTAATTAAAATGGGCATGTTCAATTATTATTACTAAAATAAAATTATGAAAATATTTTTCACAGAATAATTTCTCCATAAATTTGATTATTCACAAAATTTTAAGTCTCAATTTTTTTTGGCTATATGGTAATAGATACCGTATAGAAGGAAGTTTTGGAGTGAGTTATATTTGGCGAAATGCTAAATTTTGGTGATTGGCAAATTTTAATTTGTCAAATTTGTGGCCATGTGCCATTGAGCATGCACATAATAGCTCAAAATGGCAGATTTTTATTTTGGCAAGTGGCTATCAAAACGCCAAATTCAACAAATTTAATTGCATGTACCTCCAAAATTTCCTTTTATATGGTTTTGTACAAGCTCAAATGTAGTACCGTATAGCAAGAAATTTTTGTGGACCAAAATTTTCACAGATCCGTTTAAAAATAAGTTTTGTGGCTTTAATTTTTGAGGTTTTCTACTTTTCGGGCATCTTGAACTGTATTAAATTGATTTTCGCGAATTTTATTTTTGTAAATTTTTAAAAACGTGAAATCCACGAAAATTTTGGGCCACAAAAATTTTGCTATAGGGTATTCGGAATTGGTATTTAATTTCACTGATTCCAGGCCCAAAAGTATTTGAAATCAGAATTGATTTCTAATTCTGGATTCACCCATTATTAATATATAGCCAGGATTTGAAAGAAGGGGATGTTGTATATCTGCATGCACAAGGCCATGCCCATTAATTGGGTTTTGTGCATTTTGCTCATTGTTATAAAATAAGAAGGTTAATATAATAGTACACCTGGACATGCCTAATGATTTTGGGTACTGCTTAAATGATTTGCCTAGTACCTTGCTGTTTAGGCCCAAAAGTTTAGTAAATATTTTGAACATACATGTATACTGAAGGGGGCTCAAGCATCTATGTAAAAACCCCCGGCAATACACTTGCATGGGCAATTAAGGGTGTTAGTTTTTGACTAAATTACAACTCTCCGCAAGAAATGTCTGCTATAGTGTTTTTGTGTATTGATTTTATTAATTTGATTAATTCATTTTATGATGCAGCTCTGTTTTTATTATTGTTTTTAGATCATCTATGTCAACCTGTCTCCAATCCAGGTATGAGTTTTGCCTATATAGTGTATAAGCTTCAATTAAATGCCATAATGAGTTCACACAATACCTTCAAAAACCTGAGGCTGCATGAAGTGACACCAAAATCAGTGAAAGGAATCACTATAATGATTTTTATAACAAAGTAATGATTCTTACTAAGCCTGCTTCTAGTCGAGTTTTAATGGAAAGTTGTTTGCCTTGTTTCTGCTTCATTGTTCTTTCTTGTGTATGCAAAATGTAGTATGGTAGGCATGCAAAATGTTACTTTAGTTTTAAACTTCTTGTGGCATTTTTGTGA